TGCTGACAAGGGGATGGAGGTCAGGGGCTTTAACCCGCTAACCCAGTTTGGTTTTATGTTGCTTTGCAGTTTTAAAAGTTTAGCTACAGAACCAATTCTTTTGTTCAATTTATGAGTTAACATTCTGCAAGTATGGTACAAAAAGGGCATTCCATCCTAAAAATGCAAATAGCATGAATCAGGAGTAAACGCTGGTTTCTCAAATTTTCATCACGATTCATTAAAAAAACCTAGCTACATCTTACAACAACTATGCAAATACATTAACAACCTAGAACAACTACAAAAAAAGTAAACAAAAACAAGCCAGCCAATTTTTGTCTGGGGGAGGGGAAGAATCGTAGGATTTCTTGGCATTCCTAAATCCCAGAAACTAAAATCCTTTTTGTTGAAGAATTTCTTCCTACAGGGACTTGTTTCTCCATACCACCCTATCAAAATGACCAGCATTATGCCAGAACACAGGCATTTACTTAGAGACCACTTTAAAAAAAAAAAAAAAAGCCCATAGTCCAAAATGCCAACTAATGCATCCTCTGTACAGAAACGGTCAGAAATTACAAACGAGCGACCCAAAGGACTTGTGGACTAGGCTGCCCTCACGATTTAGAACGGACTCAGAAAGAGCAGACGTGGTCGGTCACGATGTCCCCTGAACCACATGACCTCGCTACGAAAGCAGCTTTAACTCATCAACGAAAAGCCAAGTTAAGCCAGGCGGGGCGGCTGCTCGGGCTTTCGCTGCGCCCCTTACCGTTAGAAGATCTGGGAGGGAGCAAAGGAGAGGAACACCCCAGAATCCTGGTGAAAAAGCCCCTGGCCTCCAAGGTGGGGTCTAGGGAGAAAGGAGGGGCAGCTCCTTGTGTGGTGACCCTTTGTGAACACGCGCGGGCAGCTCGGCTTTACCGAGGATTAAGGAGCGGACTACGGACGTTTGGCACTGCCCAGGGGTAGAGGCCGAGCCTCCATGGCAGCCCTTCCCGCTTTCGCCCACCCCCGGGACCACTCATGGGGGGTTGGGGAGGGTCCCCGTCCTCCGGCATCAGCGGGCGCAGGCCCGAGCGCAAAGACACGCACTCTTGCGGCCCTCTTTTCCAAGCAGCGTAATCCCTCCGCAGCGGGCCGCGCACTAGTTTTGATCACGCCCCGCCCCCTAGCCGCTAGCGTCACCTCCGCCACTCGACTTGAGTGCTTTCCAGCAGCTTCCAGAATCCATCGCCTCCCCAAAACCGGCCACTCACACTCGGCGGGCTCGGCAGCCACCCGCCCCGCCCCTACTCGTCGTCGCAGTTGAAACTGCGGCTGCGACTGCAGGGCGGAGCAGACAGCCACGCCCTCTGCGGAGCTCTGCCGGAAGTGCTCTGATCTTTGTCTTCCCCGCCACGCCTACGTCCTTTTAATCCCAGAGCGCAGCAGGAAGGGAGACTGTTTTGCTGCGGACTCAAGCCGGAAGTTGCTTTCCTGGCGGAGACGCCGGTGGGGGAGGAGTAGTCCGAGGCGAACGTGGGTTGGACGTTGCGAGTAGATGGTGTGGAGCCCACGCTGGAACAGGAGTTCGAACCGATCCGAAACGAAGAAAAGCAGCGTCCCGGGCAGGTAAGGGAGAAGTAATAGTTTTTTCGGTCCTGGAAATAAGGGAAAAGAAAAGGGACGGCTGGGGCGACAGGTGGGTAGTAGGCTTGCTGAAAGGATGGACTGGGACCAGGTTCAGGTGGGGAGTCTTGATGACTAGGGGATGGAGCTGGAGTTACAGATCCGTTTGGGCTCAGAGAGGTAAACACAAGAGAAACCAGAGTTTGCTTGGGTCTCCCGGGGATTGTGGAGATGGCACGGTTAGCGGAACGCCTCTTGGGCTTTGAACTCACCTCGACTGTTCTATCCGTCTCTGATTCGGACAGCTGGGTTTGGCACCACTCAGGGCTAGGCGTTCACAGGGACCTGGTGCCCTGGCTTTATGTCTGTGGTGGCCTCGCCTTTGATAGTTCACGTGCTGAGCCCACTTGGTCTGGGGAGGGGGCAAGCTCAGGCCATTCTTTTCCTGGGTTTCCTGTTGTGCGCACGGGACTGAGTTAAGTTTAGTTGCATGCCCCTTGCGATTCGCAGGGTTAACTTTATACTTTCACTGAATCTTTACTGGGTCCGTACTGGGCTAGTAATTCCTATTAGGGGCTCTGGACTGTTAGAAGAAAGATGCTGGGGCGAAGTGGAGGAAGAGAAGGCTGGAGGTTCTGGTCTTAGTGTGCCGTGGATTTGGTCATGACCTTTCAGCCACACTGAGCTTTTGGGATGGACTTTGCTGTAATCAGACTAGAATAAATAGGTGATTCTAAGCTGAGCAGTGACAGACTTGTTTTCTAGGAGCATCGTTTTGATAGTGATATGGGATGGAAAGAAACATTGTCAGAGAACTGTCCCCAGAATTTGGTGACATTTACTGCGTGAGGAAGAGGGAGAAATGAGTGCAGAACCACTTTCTAGTCTGCGTTTGGAAGGCTGTCGGTGCCAAAATTTAGGTGAGATGCAGGGAGGCGAAGCAGGTTATTTTTGAAGGGAAGATAATGAAGGCAGCTGTTTAGAGACAAATTAAGTTTTAATAGCCATCCCAGGATTTTGTGTATTTGAAATGTTGACTGGAGGGATCAGAGTAGATTTGAAGACTCCTCAGGTTTTACTTCTGTAATTGAGGCAGAAAGAGAACCACCTGAAACGTTTTCTTCCATCCCTCAGGCTGATAGAAATTTTCACCCAAAATAACATTTAAGATACCTGGCCCATCAGTTTCTCCTTTGAGAATGAGTGCTACAGAATAAGGTGCACTGCATATTTTCTATATGGTGAAATACAAAGCTAGCACCAAGTAGTAGTAGCTGTCATTTATTGTGTTAATCACTTCATATGCATTGTCTCATTTGATTCTCAGGTTTAACAAACTTTTTTTTGTTTTTTTGGTGGCACTAGGTTTGAACTCAGGGCCTCATGCTTGCAAGGAAGGCACCCTTACCACTTGAGCCAGCCAACCCTTTTTTGTGATGAGTATTTTTGAGATAGGATTTCACAAACTAATTGGGCGGGCTGGCTTTGAAACATGATTTTCCTGATCACTGCCTCCTGAATAGCTAGGATTTCAGGCACCAGCAAAATAGTTTATGAAATGAATCCATGAACCAAAAGTGGTTGTCCTAAAATCATGATTTCTTACGTTTTGGAAAGACTTATGCTTGAAGTTACATTACAGTATCTTGCCTAAGTGGTAATTCTCCTCTGATTAAAGGACTTCTGTATTTAGTTTTGCTATTTTAGTTATGTATTTAGTGGTACTGGGGTTTGAACTCAGGACCTATATCTTGAGCCACTCCACCAGCCCTTTTTTGTGTTGGTTTTGTTTTTCAAGATGGGATGGCTTTGAACCATGACCCTTCTGATGTCTGCTTCCTGAGTAGTTGGGATTACAGGCATGAGCCACAGGCACCCGACTGGTTTTGCTATTTTAAATAGTATTTAAACTGCTCTTAATAACTTTTTCTTTATATTGAGCCTTATCTCATAATTTTGGCTCTACTGAATGTAGAGTCCACCGAACTACACTGAAAACAAACTTGTAGTATGAGAGTGCTTATATTTTTGTTCTGATACATTTACAAATATAAGTATTTTGTTTGAAACTTTAACAAAAGTATTATTCTCAAGTCATGAAGGACTAGTGGCTGAAAACAGTAGGAATGTATGAAATGTGTGGCTTGCTCTTTTATTTCTGTCAGGTAGTTAATCATAATGCTGGCATATTTGTTTCAAATTGTGTATAGACTTAAAAAGCTGGGTTTTCAAATTGCAGTGGACATAGTCTGCTTTCAATAGTAGCTGCCTTACTGTAAGAAAGTCGGTTATGAAAATGTAGCCTATTGCCATGCTCTGCCTGCTCCCTATATATTTGCTAAATCCGTAAGTTTAGGTGTTTTCAACTTCAAGATCACAATTGTAGGCTATGTTTATCCTGGAACATATGCTCTCAAAATATACTTGATATATATCTCTCATAAAATAGCAAAGTTCATTTTATATTGAATAGGATTTTTGTTTAATTGTCTATTAACTTTTTTTTTCCAGGGTTCATTGAAAAATCCTTAGTGATATTGACATGTTTCAAGTGACATAAATTAGCCAATGACTCGGAATGATGGATTCTCTGAAGATTGGAAATGGTTTGCCAATGATTGAACCAGGGACAGATAAGGGGATACCTTCACTCCCCATGGTGGGGTACTTGGGAAAAGTTAGTGAACTTATTTTTTGCCTCAGTGCAAAGTTTTTTCCCCCCTCCTATTTTTGAGATTTAAATTCATTTTTAATTTTATCAGTTAACATCTGAAAAAATTGTATCTTCCACGGAAATCTTACAGCAATGGCGAAAGATTGTTTTAATGTGTTTACCTCTCTGTTATATGTGCAAATAGAAATAAAACATAGATCTGTGGTTTACTATTCTTTGAAAATATAGGTCATACCATTTTCCTGGCAGTTGATATTTCTTTTTTCTTGCAAATAAAACTGATGCTAAACACTTAAAATTTAATATTTAAAACTATTATTTAAATATTTAAATAATATAATTTAATTTATAAATTTAATATTTAAAACAAGTAGTAGCATGTTAAAATGTCATATGCATTTCTTTTATTTGCTGTGTTTAATCTTGCCAGGACACTTCTACTTAAAAGTTGTAATTTTTTTCTGGTTACTCTTCTATTAAACTTTTTTTGTAATTTGACATATTTTAGGAATGTCTGTATTTTAATTTGCTTTATTTCTCTTTTAGAATTATGATTCAGCTAAAGTTACATCAGATGGGTATTGTCCTGCTTGTAAAGAGAAGGGAAAGTTAAAAGCCTTAAAGACTTACCGAATTAGTTTTCAAGAATCTGTCTTTCTGTGTGAGGATCTGCAGGTAAAGTACCCATCCTAAATAGTACATTGACTTTAGCCTTTTGCTTTTTTTCTTCCACATCAAAATATTTACTCATTTTGTATTTTTTGTAGAGTGTAGTTTTTTAGGCATAGGTAATCTTGGTTTCCAAATCTGTCTAGTATGCTGTTTTATTTATTTATTTATTTATTTGTATACAATTTTAAATTGCTTATGTTGTTTTCCATCTAGATTCTTGAGTAGTTGGGTGTGACTGTTCTTAACCTTGTAGGAGTTAACTGGTTAACTGTTACTATATAGTAGTTACTCCCTCGTCTTACTTGTTTATAAACTTTGTGACCCATTGGAAAAGTTAATAATCTCCAATTTACCTGGAAAAAAATTTTGGAAATTGGTTAGTTCAAAAACAATGTGTACGCTCTGAGCTAAATAGTGCATACTTAAAAGCTGTAAGCTGGGCATGGTGGTGCCTATCTGTAATACTGACATTTGGAAAACTAAAGCAAGGAGGGCCATAAGTTTGAAGCCAGCCTGGGCTACACACAGGGAGAACTTGCCTCAAAAAAAAAAAAAAAATTAAAATTAAAAGGCTCTGAATATCTTTTAGAGTTAATTATAGTGATTTTTATTCAATGCTACATCTCTTATGGGAGCGCATTAAATTCTGTAATACTCTACATTTTATTGTACTTGACAGTTTCTGAAACTTTTATACATGTTTAATTCTCAGAACTTTGCAAGATAGGTATTCCCATTTTTTAATTAAGAAATCAGATTTAGAGAGTTTAGGAACAGAAAATTTTTGTAAAGCTGCAGAGATATGTTTATAATGTAGTCTTCTAATGTCAGATCTGTTTACTTCAGATAAACTAGTAGTTCATGAGAATCACCTGGTGTGCCATTAAAATATTTCTGTCTCCCCAGGTTCACACTTGGAATTCTTGGGAGACTGAGATCTGGAGGATCTCAGTTTAAGGCCAGCCAGAGCAAATAGCTCAAGAGACCTCCCCCCCATCTCCCAAATTACCAGAGCAAATGAACTGAAGGTATGGCTCAAGCGGTAGAGTGCCTGCTTTGCAAGCACAAAGCCCTGAGTTCAAACCCCAGTCCCACCAAAAAAAAATTGGGGGTCTTACCTCCAGGTACTGATTCAGTAGAGTTGTCCCAGACTTCTATAGTTTTGTAACTTGAGGCCTAATGATCAGCCCAGTTTGGAAAATGCTAGACTAAATCACATGGTTGGTAATAGTTATGTTGCTGGGTATATTTTGAAGAAAAACCATTCCAGGCATGTTTAAAAATACAAACATATCTTCATTATGCATTTATTTAGTTAAATATGAATGCCCCTGTGTTGACACTATTGCTAACATAGTGCTAAGAAAGATAGTGATGAATAAAACCAAAAAATTCTTGTGTTACTTAAGGAAGGTTATGTTTTAGAGTGGAAAAGATAGTACAGATGAAAAACAGGTAAGGCATAAGTTGTGTCAAGTGATGAAAAATACCGGGGAGTCTGGCACAGTGGCAGGCATTCAGAATCCCAGCTACTTGGGATGCTGAGGCAAGAGGATTAACAGTTCAAGGTCAGCCTTGGCAACAGTGTGAGATCCTGGCTCACCAAAAAAGAAAGAGAAGTGTTGATTAGAAAATAAAGCAATAGGGATCAGAGTGGCAGGGGAGAAGCTTGCAGTTTTAAATAGCTTGGTGAGGGGAGTGAAATTTGAGCAAAGGCCAGAGAGAGGAAGAGGAGAGAGGGGAAGCAGATACAAGGAAGGCCTTGAGAGTGGAGGCTGCCTGCCACATTTGTGCTGCTGCAGTGAAACCAGTAGAACAGGATTTTCATAAGTGATAGATGATGGGTTAGAAAAACAGTCGGGGTTGGGCAAAGTAGGATCTTACCATAGATGGTAAGATCTCTTTATTCTGGGCAAAATGATTAGCCATAGCATGGGTGTTGGCAGAAGAATGACGATAATCTGACTGATAAAAGGATCACTAAAACTGCTGGTTGAAAATACATGTAATAGGCAAAATGTGAAGCGGGGAGTCAGGATGTTTCTGTCCCCAGTTTTCTCACAGTTAAAACCCGTGGATTTTCTGAATGAAAGGAGTGTCTTTTGTTATTCATAATGAGCCCCCTTGATTACACCTGAGTTGTGAATAGCCCCTGGATAACCTTAGCATGGGGTCCATGCTAAGATCTTAAAAGTTGCAACTTTAGCCCCAACCACCAACCCCCAGGAAAGGGAGAAGGGGCTGGATATCAAGTACTATAACAACTTAAACATTTAATGAGTGTCCAGGTTGCTAGAGGTACTGAGCCTCGATGGTCGGTATACCCAAGTGGAGTGAAAGTACCACACTACCTCCCTCCCTGCCCCAGTACCTTGTCCTGTGCATCTCTTCATCTGTAACCTTTCTAATGTCTTTTAGAGTAAACCAGTAAATGTATTTCCTTAACGCCTATGAGTGATCCTAGCAAATTAATTGTACCCAAGGAGGGGCTCACGGGAATCCCAGTTTGTTGACAGTTGGTCAGGAGTACAAGTTATTAGGCTTGGCAGTTGGCATCTAAAGAAGAGATAGTTTGTAGGATAGCCGTTTGGTGTCCATTTCGGAATTGCTTGGTGTCCAAGTAGATAACATCAGAATTAAATTACAGAATACACAGTTGGTGTCCGCTGGAAAATGAGAATTGTCCATTTGTGTGGGAACAAAAACTCCATGCATCTGTCACAGAAGGGTGCTGCAGGCTTGTGAGAGTAGAGTAGAAAGGGGAAATGTTTTGTTTTTTCCCTTCAGACTAGTTGAAAGGCAGTTGCAGTATTTCAGGGAGAAAGGGTAATGGCAGAGGTGACAAGGCATGGATAAATTCTGTTTATATAGTTGCCCCTCAGTATCTATGGGTGATTTGTTCTAGGATTGTGTTTATATAAGGGATGCTCAGGTCCCTTTAAAGTGGCATAGTGTTTGCATATAACGTATGTCCACCCGTATACTTTCAAGCCGTTTCTAGATTACTTACGATACCTAATACGATGTAAATGCTATGTTATGCTGTGTCACTTAGGGAATAATGACAAGAAAGTCTACGTGTAGGTCTAGCTGAGTAGTACATGATCTTCAGTTGGCTGAATCCTTGGATGTGGAGCCCATGGATACAGAACCTGTGGATACAGAGGGCCGACTATACTTTGAAGGTAAAACCAACAGGATTTACTGAAGGATTGGGATATAGAGCAGGGGAGAGAAATCCAGGATGATTCCAAGATTTTTGGCCTGAACAATTGGTAAAGTTGCCAGTTACTGAGCTAGGAAGGACTTTGAGAAAAGCAAGATTTAGGGAGAAGATCAGAAGGTCAGGACTGTTAAACTTGAAACTTCTAACCCCTGCGGAGTAAGCAGTTGGGTCTAGATGTGTGACATTAGGTGGAGAGTTTGAGATTGGAGATAAAGCAACCGCAAGAATAGGGAGTTAATTTAGGAATATGGATCAAGAAGTCCGCAGACTGAGCCCTGAACCAATCCATAATTAAGAGGCTAGGAGATGAAGTAGAGCTCAGGAGAATCTGAGAAGTGGACAGTTTGGGAGGCGTAAAACCAGGAAGGAGAGGGCATTGTTCTAGAAGTGAAGACAGGAAGGGAGGAAGGTGTCATTACCTTCAAATGCTGCTGAGAGCTCCTGGAGTCTGAGGACTCAACTCAACCTTCACTAGTGTGGGGGGTGGGGAGGGAGGGAGGAGTTCTTGAAGATCTCAGGGAGAATAGGTTGGTAAAGCAGTGGTGATGAAAACCTGTTAAAGTGAAGGGGAGAAAGAGAATTGAAAAGTGGTCTATCTATTAGAAAGTGGAAAAGGGCTGGAGGCATATCCCTGGAGCAGGGGGTGGGTGTGTTCTGTTGCCCAAGGGATGGGGTTGATTCCAGGAGTTTTGACATCCCATTCATTGTAGACTCTATACAGTTTACTAATTAACTCAAAGCTGTAGAATTGTGAACAAAATAACTACCACCTCCTTTGAAAGATAAGAATAGAGAAATCCCTGTCCTCAGGAGATAGGTTTTAGTCTTTATTTTATTTTTTTTTTGTGGTACTGGGGTTTGAACTCAGTGCCTTGTGAACAGACACTCTACTACTTGAGCCATTCCCCTCAGCCTGAAGCATTCCTTTTTAAGTGATAAGGAATATATATAATCAAGAATTTTAAAGTATACTTAAGTGTTTAAAAAAAACCAAAAACTCTTTAACTTACAAAAGTTTTCTTTTGGCTCATGATTTTGGAGGGTCCAGTCCTTGATCAGTTGGTCCCATCCTAACTGGGTTAATTGTTAATCATTATGAGCCCTGTGTAATTTATGAAGTAGATTTGTTTAATAGCAGAGGTCAGCAAACTGTATGATGGAGTTTGGTGGCACTGGGGTTTGAACTCAGGGCCTCACACTTGCTAAGCAGGTGCACTACCACTTCAGCCACTCCGCCAACCTGGAAACCTCTTTTAATCAGGGATGTACAGTAAAATGTTTCTTGATTTGAAAAAAAGAAATTACTAACATTCAGAATTCTCCAAAATTAATAACAAATTGGAATTGCCAGGTGTTTTAGTAGGGAGTTGTAACTTCTCCTGACCTGGGGTGGTTTATTATTAAGTGTTTACTTTGGAGCATTTCACTATTTAGTTCTTTATTTTAAAAAAAGTATGAACTTTATAATAGAGTTGATTTTAAATTTTTTATTTTATTTTTACATTTATTTTTAATTTTGGGTGGATTTAGTACACTTAAGGTGTCTAGACATTCTCAAAGAAGTGCTGATTGCCAGGATTGAAAACGCAACCTGTGATGGGTTTTGCTATGTGCTGGGGTGTGCCTTGAACTCTATGCTCCTGCCTTAGCCTCCCAGGTATTTGGTATTAAAAGCATGTGCCACTATGCCCTGCTGTAAATATTTTTAAGTAATTAGTGTGAAGTCATCAAAGAAAACATTTATTTTCTTGTCTTTTTGTAAAATGAGTATAAATTATTTGTGTAATTTGTCTTTGGCCATACCTTACAGACCGTTACTTTCCAAATAAAAGATGTTTTCCTTATCTCTGTATTACAGTAATTCATTTAAGCAGCTCCAAAAAAAACAATCACTGAAAGAGACAGCATTAGTTTTTTCTCAGCATTAAGTTTTAGATGATGTTAGATGACTGTACTAGACTAACAAGTTAGTACTATGTATCTTTTATGGCTGTTATTTGAAGGCCCATGTATCTTCTTACTACTTTTTTTGAAGCTAGATCAAAAGTTTTATTCGAGTTAAAAAAGATACATGCTCATTATAAATAGAATCTAAGATGGGATATAATGACATAAATATAAAAAAATTATAATTTAGATTGGCCCAGTGATAGGAGTACAGATTATAGAAAAAAAGTGAAGACTCTTGCAAACCCTGTGGGGAAACCATCCGCTAACTTTTGTGGCTCAGGTCCCCTCGTGCTTTAATTATGGGGGAAAAAGAAATAACAGTTGATCATCATAATGATTTTTAAGTGCCCCATATAGTTCAGGATTATTAGGTATATAACTTTTTTCACCTTACAAAAATGAAACCTTATACCCGTAATACTGTACTTTCCCCACTTCTCAGCCCCTGACAGCCGCTACCCCAATTGCCTGTTTCTGTGAATCTCACTACTCTAAATGCCTCATAGTGTTTTTCTTTTTTGTAGCTTGCTAATTTACTTAGTATCATCTCAAGGTTCATCCATGTTATAGCATGTGATAGGATAGCCTTCCTTATTCAGGCTGAATAATGTTCCATTCATCTGTCAGACTTTTAGTTTGTTTCCCCTTTGGCTATAGTGAATAATGCTATAATGAATGAATATGGGTATGCAATATCTCCTTAAGATTCTGCTTTTTTTTTTTTTGGAAGGTGGGGAGAATATATACCTTTTTTTTTTTTTCTGGCAGTATTGGGATTTGAACTCAGGGCCCACACCTTGAGCCACTTTCCCAGCCCTTTTTTTGTGATGGTTTTTTTTGAGACAGGTCTCATGAACTATTTTGCCCTGGCTGGCTTCGAACTGCGATCCTCCTGATCTGCACCTTCTGTCTAGCTAGGATTACAGGCATGAGCCACCAGTGCCTGGCTGAGAATGTATACATTTTCTTGACGTTCAGTACACAATTACTGCCACTGAGGGGTTTTTGGGTTTTTTTGAGATAGGGTATTACTATGTAGCCCAGGCTGGCTCTGAACTCACTGTGTATCCCAGGCTGCCCTTAAACTTGAAATCCTCAGCATCCCAAATATTAGGGTTACAGGCATGTGCCACCATGCTTGGCATGCTACTGACTTTAAAGTATTATCGGTTTCTTGGTATAGAATTGGATTTAGGAAATGTCAAGATAGATAACATCATCAACGTTATTATTGACGCTCACCATATAATTAGTTGGTAATAGAATCCAGAACTTGTCCATGTATACTAAAGAATTTCATAATCAAGCTGTAGAATGCCTGCCTAGCAAGTATGAGACCCTGAGTGCAAATTCCAGTACCACCAAAAAAAAAAAAAAGGAAAGAATTTTATAAGTATATTTTGAGTGTTTACTTGCATAGAAGTAGATAAGGGAATTTAGTGTATTTTACTTCCCCACTGCTCTGAAATGAATCTATCACTTCAAAATATAGCATACAAAATGTGGCTTCTTTTATTATTTTCATGATTCTCTGAGCTGACCAGGCAGCTCTCCACTCCACACAGTATCCTCTGGGAAGGCTGACATGCCTTCGAGTCTGGCAATAACACTGGCTGCTGTTAGAGGGCTTAGCTCAGACCCTCGCTGGTTAATTGGGCTTCTCACAGCATGGTAGCTGGGACTAGAAGCAGGGCTCAAAGAGGACAGGTATGATGAGCCAGTGCCTGTCAGGCCTCCATGGACGTCGTGTGTCCCAGCAAAACTAGAAACATGGCTGAGCCCAGTCTGTGTAGAGGACTGATGACTTGACTATATGAGGGTGTTGATTACCAGGAGTCTGGTTCCTTAGTTCACTGGAGGCCACTAAGGTTGCAGTCTACTGTACTTGTTTAGAAGGCATATTTTAAGGTTTTTCTTGGTATTTTTTTGACATGAGCATCTCATTATGTAGGACAGGTTGGCCTTGAACTCATTATCATTATACCTCAGACTCTCCAGTGCTGGAATTACAGGTGTGTACCACCATGCCTGGCTCTAGAGGCAAATTTTAAATGCCTTCTATAGGTTCTTAAATTTGTTTTGTGGAGTATTTAGGTGGTCTTCAGAGTTTGGGAAAATTTACTGTTGGTTTGTTTACATTTTTTGTGTGTGGCTAAAATTGTGTTAATGTGCAATAGATGCTATAAGCCACTAAAATTCTGCTGATTTGACTCTACCTAGTTAGGACATAAAATAGTAGCATTCTCAGATTTCATGTTCAGTTTCAAAATACAGGATAAGTAGAAATTGCCCTATGCAAAGTTTTTACTTGGAAACACTTTTTTTTTTTTCTTTGTTGGTGGAGTGGGGGTTTTTTTGAACACAAGACTTTAAGCTTGCAAAACAGTTGCTCTATTTGAGCCATGCCTCTTGTCCATTTTGCTCTAGTTATTTTGGAGATACGGTCTCATGAACTATTTGCCTGAACTCCCCTCCCCTCCTCTCCCCTCCCCATCCTCTCCCATTGTGTTCCTCCCAAGCTTAGCCTCCTGAGTAGCTCAGATCATAGGTGTGAGCCACTGTGCCCAGCTTCTCTTTCAGGTTTTAGTATTATACAGTGCGTCTATCAGAACAACAACACTCATCATTGTCTTTCTTTACGCGTTGAAATTTTTAAGTTTATTTGACGTTAGCTTTTTTATTAAAGCAAAAATAAGTATGTTTTCCTTTTTGATTTACCCTAGTATAACTCAGATTAAACCCTTGGTTGTTCAGATTAACTAGGAAAAATTGTTCTTTTGAGGGGCAAATTTTGATGAAATAGTTTCTATTTCTTTCAAATTTAGGTTGATAAATACACTGTCATGTCAAATTAATGCTAAAAGCTGTGTTTTTCATGGCATAGAAACTGTAAAGTTAAACTTGAGCTTATTTGAATTTTTGTAGTTTTTATGATTTTATTTTTCCTTTCTAGTGCATCTATCCTTTGGGCTCTAAATCACTTAGTAATTTAATTTCTCCTGATTTGGAAGATTGTGACATTCCCAGTAAACCTCAGAAAAGAAAGATCTTGGAAACCAACTATAAAGATTCACTTCTTTTAGCAAATTCCAAAAAGACGAGAAACCATACTGTTACGGATGGGGAACAGATTTTGCAGAGTAAACGTAATGGAGAGGTATGTGATGAAATCTCACCAAACTTACCATGTAGTAGCAGTCAACAGAATCCAATTCAGACCGCTGATTCCCTGGAGCAGAATGAGACTCTGCAAGATGATGGTGAAGTTGACATGGCTACTGAGGAAAAACCTGTTTCAGTTGCTGTCTCAGAAACTGGGGGAATTTCCCCTCAAAGTGAAGGATCGGAACTGGAAATGCCATTGGACAGCAGATGTGTGTCATTTTGCCAGACATTACGTGTGCAGTGGAAAAATGCTCATGCTCTCTGTTGGTTAGACTGTATCCTGTCAACCTTGGTGCATTTGGAAAGGTTGAAGAACACTGTGACTGAACTGTACTCCAAGGAGGAGTCTATATTTTGGCAGTTGTTTGAAAAATATCATCAAGCAAATAAGCTTTTGTATGACTGCCAGTCAGATGGAGTTAAAGGTTGGTGCAAATGTATTATTTAATCTTGAATTTTTAAAGGTGTTAGTGTCGAGAGGCTGGCGGAGTAACTCAAGCAGTAGAGCACCTGCCTAGCAAGCCTGAAGCCCTGAGTTCAAACCCCAGTACCAAAACCAACCAACAAACAAAAAAGATGTTAATGTTGAGTTGTTGAGTTCTGTCTCAGCACGTGGAAAAGACCTGCAGTAATTTCTGTTCTGCGTGGACACCTGGGGGCAGGAAGCCCAGGAGTAGGGTTGTGAAAGTTGAGAGAACACCAGTTACAATATGATGATTGCCACAAAAAGGCTGTCTTTGTAAAACTCCGAGTGAAAGAGGAAGAAACAGTGATGGGTCTTAGCCTGCAGGGTGATAGTGCTCACCACAGAATCCATCATAGTCAAACCACAATTTCTTTTTTCTTCCACTCCATGTCTCCCCATCCACAATACAGACCAGGCACAGGGCCTGGGCTGAGGTGTATATAGGGTAGGTTTACTTTGCCGTCTCTCTCTGTAGTCAGTGTAAGAACACAGCCTATGGTAAGCTCCAGGAGGCCCAAACCATAAATTTTATACCTACCTATGTGTTCTTTCCATCTCATCACCCTTTCCCCAAAGGCAGTCATCCTGAATTGTCTTTTAGCATTTCTCCTCTTAATAGTTTTTCTTAACATACGTATAGCTGAACAATACATTGCAAACGTAGTCTGTTTTAAACTTTTTTTTTTTTTTTTAACTTTTTTAAAGGGTGTTGTGCAATGTGTCTTCTGGAACCTCTTCTCTTTCCTTTCTCAGTGTGGGAGTCTCACTGTGTTACCCTAGTTCAGACTCCTGGACTCAAGTGATCCTCCCATTTTAGTCCCCTGATTTCTGGGATTACAGATGTGTACCTCCACACCCAGCTCCTTTTCTTTTTGTAAGGATTGATCTGTGAAGCTGCTTATAACTGTGATTCAAATTTTCATCTATGTGTAATATTTTCATTTTAGAAATATATCAATACAGTCTTCCCTCAATGTATCCACGTAGGATTGGTTCCAGGACCTCCTACAGATACCCAAAGGATGCTTATGTCCTTTATGTAAAATGGCAGAAGTACTGGAGGTGTGACTCAAGCTGTAGAACACCTGCTTTGCAAGTGTGAAACTCTGAGTTCAAACCCCAGTCACACCAAAAAAAAAAAAAAAATTCTGAAAATGGCATAATATCTGTATAGAACCTGTGCACATCTTCCTGCTTGAGCCACTCCGCCAGCCCCTTTGTGCACATCTTCCTGTATCCATTCACTTTTCTCTTGTCTGCCTGCCTTCCTTCCTGCCTTCCTTCCTTCCTCACTAGCCACATTGAAATTATGTATAGTTTTATTTTACTTTATTTGTGGTGCTTAGGATCAAACCCAGTATGTTGTGCATGCTAGGCAAGAGCTCTACCACTCAGTCCTCCCCTATATTTTAAATGATTTCTAGATTACTTATTATTCCTAGTGCAGTATAAATGACATACACATAGTGGCATTTCGATACAGATAGAGTTTTTTTCTAAGTATTTTCAATCCATGGTTGGTCGAGTCTAGGGAGGCGAAATCTGCAGATACTGAGGGCTGACTGCACATTTATTCGCCTGTCAGTAGACAGTGGGTCACTTTTTTGCTATTAGAAATATACTGCTGTGACCATTCTTAGGTAGTTCTCCAAGGCATAGCATGAATAGGAGACTTTCTCTTGCATATACCATAGGAATGGATTTGCCAAATCATAGGGCTCTAAGTTCAGATTTACAGATGATGGCAACTGCTTTCAAACTGGTTGTACCAGTCAGTACTCTGATAAGCAATATATGAGCTACCTTCCTGACCCATACATTGTGCCTTAGATATTTCCATACAGAGAGTGGTATGAAAGGATCTTTGGTCTCGCTTTACCTTTCCCAGATTTTAAAACAGATAATCTATTGGCTCTTCATGCATTTGACCATGTATGTGCCCTGTTTTGTGACAGGGTGTGTCTTATCACTGTTGTATTGAGCTTCATGTTCTTACTGATTTGTATGAGTTTTCTTATTTCCTTGTTGCTATTTTTATGTCAAATATGTTTTGCTGATTGTTCACCCAGTTTGGAGCTTGTGTTTTTACTTTTATTTATCCTTTTCTTAATTTTTTTATTTTTGTGGTATGCGACTTGAACTCAGGGCTGCACACCTGGTAGGTAAGCGCTACCATTTGAGCCAGGCCATAAGCCCTGATTTTGAAATTCTTCATTCAGTTAATATTTGTGTATGGTGTGAGTTAAGGATCCATTTTTCTCATCTACATAGCTAGTTTTTCTCATTTCACTTCTCTTGTCAGTTGATCTGCCATGCCACCTTTGTTATATTGCAACATTGTATGAATGTGTTCAGCTTTCCCCTGACTACTCTTAATACTTTTTTTTTTCCTTTTTTTTTTAACTTGTATCTGTGCTATTTTATTAAGGCTTTTTTATTTAGGAGGGCAAGAATCCTCACCTTTCTTGAATTTATATTGAAGTGTTGTGGTTTGTTTTTTCCTGATCTTATTTGTGCATGTATTTTTTTTGACAATACTTGACATTATACCATGCTTTCTTCACTTGGTATTATAGGTATTCTTTTTCACTAATGTTCTAAAATTGTGACTTCTGTCATGCAGTCCTTTCTGTGGATCCTGCACATTGCTTCCCTTGTGGACCAGTTAGACTGCTTACCACTTTTTGCTATTATGAATTCATACCATGACAGATACCCATGTATCTCTAGAATACATTGCATGTAAATATCCTAGAAGGAGTGGGAGATGGCTCAAGTGATAGAACACTGCCCAATATGAAAATAAAAAATTAAGTTACATTGATACATCCAAGATTTTTATATGCAGCTATGAGCATGAACATTAATAGAATAAAAGTGATGCAAAACACACCCAAAAATAACATATGCAGTTATTTTCTATCATTTACAATGTAGTAGTTACAATTTTTCAAACAAAAAAGCAGAGTGAAAAATCAAAACCCCAACTTCTATTCATGTAAATTAGACTTATACTGAATCAGGCTAAATAACAACTAGTTAATCATCTAAAATAAATCTTTTGTTTCAGTTTGAGGCCCCACCCCCCTTTGGGTGGGATTGGGGTTTGACCTCAGGACTTTGCACTTGCAAAGTGGGCGCTCTATACAGCTCAAGCCAAACCTCAAGTTCATTTTGCTCTGGTTATTTTGGAGACAGTCTCCTGATCTCAGCCTCCCAAGTACCTAGGACTACAGGTATGTGAGCCAGCTTGAATTCCAACACCAGCATCAATTTGAGTTTCCTTTGAGATTGAATTTTTTTCATGGTATCAGACATTTATGTTTTTTTGCCATTTTTGAGTCGGTTTTTTATAAGCATTTTTGCCTTCAGCTTTTTTGGGGAGGTTGTCTATCAGAACTGTGTAGGTGACAGTTGTTCATTTGATTATTGCAGAAGAGCAACAACTGAATGTTGGAATTTTAATTTTATATCTTTACCATATTAACTATAGAATAATTATAGTCTTTATAAACTGGTTTTAAATTATATATGAGCTTAATTACCTTGCATTATAAATTTTCTTTTTTTTTGTCATGAATAACAAAAAATTTGGTTAGCATTCAGTTTATTGAGAATTCATGTATTTTTTAAAGGAGAATCCAGGTATTTTCATTAATGGAACACCTAAGCAAAACATGCTCAAGCTGTGCATGAATTATTTAAAAAGATTTGAGTGAAAAGATTCATTGTAGCTTATGAGTATCTAGAGTCAGGTGCATATGGAGGCTTTTGTTCAAAATAATTTTCTTTCTAATCAAAAACATGAACGGGGATGTGCCCAGGATGCTTATCACTTTAATATTTATAGTATTGGGAAAAGAAATTTTCATCCAAAGGGGAGTGATTAGTAAAACTGTGTCAGTTACATGTAACAGCTAGCTTAGAAGTGCATTGTAAAGCAAATTTGTGGGAACAAAGCAAAATGTGGAATTCTGTAAACTCTGGAAGCCACTGAAGACGCCCTTCCCCCCTCCCCATATGCCAAATACTACTTTGGGAAATAATTATAACTTTAGTAAGACTTCTTATCACTACAGAAAGTAAATAATTAGATGTGTCTAGCATAAAGAGTATTTGCATATAAAGTATTTGTAAATAGCTTTTGTTTCAGAGGGGGACCAAAATATTTGAAAGATTGGGTATTATTAATCTGAAAAATTCAAAATCTGAAACTTTTTGAGTGCCAGCATGTTTCCAAAAGTAGAATATTGTAACCTGACCTTATGTGACAGGTCACAGTCAAAACACAGTACTTTGTATAAAATTACATTTAGGCTATGTGTATAAGGTGTATATAAAACATAAATGAATTTCATGTTTAGACTTGGATCCCATTCTCAAAATATTATGTCTATGAAAATATTCCAAAATCTGAAACAAAAAAACAAAAAAAGCCCTGAAATTTGAAACACTCCTGATGCCTGCTGTGTTTTAGTAGGCCTGTGGCTGTTTAGTTCAGAAAGGCTTTCCCTGAGATGGTACCAGGTGGTAAGTAGTAATGATGCTGTGCTGAAGGCATACATTGAGGGGATATATAGTGTGCCCTGGAGGAAGAAGAATTGAGGAAATTTTGTGTATTGCTTTTTGTCCCTGCACAACTTACTGATTCTGGTCAACTTTTCATTTGCTAATGTCTCAATTTTCTGTGGAAAGGTGCACATTGATGACATGTTGATAATCTATATTTTTTTAGATGGAAATTATAAAAAACTTACTTCGGAAATAATTGCAGAGATAGAAACTTGTCTGAATGAAGTCAGAGATGAAATTTTTACAAAACTTCAGCCTCAGCTTAGATGCACATTAGGTAAGTAATTGCTGTAACTTAACTCCTCTATGTAAACCTGGAGCAGTTAGAGTATTGTCCTAGTACTTTGGATGATCAGATTCTGGGGGAGTCTGGGTAGTGAGACTTAGGAATGAACCCATGGTTAAATCATCGTTGTGCAGAGAAGTTCTTCACAAATAATGCAGGTTGCTGTTCCACCTCTTGAGAGAGGGTGCAGGTGTCAGAGCCAGGTGATAACTTAGGGGATACACCCTTGGTTGCTTCTCATATCTTTGCCCTCAGTAGATTTGCCCAGCTTTGTCACCTTGACCATGTTACTAAGAAGTACCTTGGGAGTTTCAAAATATACTCCAGTGCTAGGGCCATACAAGCTCAGGTAAACCAGAGTCTTTGAGGTAGTTTTAGAAGCTCCTCCTCAATCTTGTTTTTAAACAGGGTTGAAAATCTAAACCAATCATAGTAATTCTGCTCTTCTTACCAGTGTTAGAGTGGACTTGTGGTACAGTTTTGGCCTGTGGGATATTAGAAAAAGTAGACTTGATGACCTTTTTGAGATAGCTTTCTCACTTTTTTGGTGGGGGGAGGTGGGGGGAACAGTACTGGAGTTTGAACTCGGGGCCTTCTGCTTGCTAGGTAGGTACACTACTATTTAAGCCATGCCTCCAACCCTTTCTGCTTTAGTTTTTCAGTTGGATAGTGCATTTTTACCCAGGCCAGCCTGGGGACCATAATCCTGTCTATCCCTTTTACATAGCTGGGATTATAAGTAGCTTATTTGTTGAAATGGGGATCTTGTTAATTTTTAGCCAGGGCTGGCTTTGAATGTGGTCCTCCAGATCTTTATCTTCTGAGTAGCTGGGATTACAGATGGAAGCCACCATGCCTGGCCCCTATTTACTCACCTTTAGAAAGGGCACAGGTGGGACTTGCTTTGTTCTCTTTGAATTGGTTTTGGCTTATGGAACAAAGTGAAAAAAGGAAGTCTAGAGATTCTGTCCAGGTCTTTTTAAACTTTTAGAGTTGCAAAAAGGAGACTGGTATTTTATTTTTTTGAGCTGGGGTCTTGTTAAGTTAGCCAGGCTATCCTTGAATTCAGGATCCCTTTACCTCAGCCTCCTTAGTAGCTGGAATTATAGACATCTTCTATTTTTCTTTGAATGAGTGGCATTATTTTATTAGGCTCAGATTCTGTGTCTAGGCACCATGTCTTTGTCTGCAGCTTTGACCTGCTTGTTTGCCTACAGTTCTGCCTCCCCTCCTGGGTTTCCCCTGCTTCTCAGTGGCTCCTACAGGCATGAGTTGCTCTGTTCTAATAGCAAATTGAGTTTTCTTGTGCCACCCCTCAGTCTAATTAATGGCTCTTACTTAACACCAGGTGTGAGCTCCAATATGATGAGTACTCTTTTCTTTTTACCAAAGTGTAATTAACATAGCCCTTTTAAAATGTATACAGTGGAGTAACTAATTCCGCACTTGAGACTCTGGACAGGTCTGTCATCCTAAAACTTACAGTGGAGTAACTAATTCTGCACTTGAGACTCTGGACAGGTCTGTCATCCTAAAACTGTTCACTAGAATCCACTGTCCTCATGCCCCACCACTGAAGCATGGTTGAAAGCTCACTGCCCAGGAGCTGCTTCCTGAGGATCAACAACCAACCCCCCACCTTCCCCCAGCTCTGTGTTGTGTGGATCACCACCCTGTTACCCTCTGGTCATGTTTGAACCATCTCTTGCTCCCTTTCCACCTGGGGCCTGGTGTTCTACTTAACAGAGAGGGAGTTTGAAATTTTTACTATATAGTCATGACAGCCGAGCACGGGTACAGCGTTTCTAGTACAGTGGAAGTCCTCTCTTGCTTGCGCTCCTACCCTTTCAACGGGGATAGGTACTACAGTAGCTTGTGCTCTTACCGATGCAGTCAGTCTGCTTCATAGAGTACTTCCCCACTCACCCAGAGGTTGAGCTCAGGGTCTTGTGTTTGCTTGAGCTTTAACTCTAGTTCTTTGTACTTTTAGTTATTTTTCAGGTAAGTCGCCTGTACTGGCCCAGGACTGCAGTCGTCTTACCTGTGCCTCCCATATAGCTGTGATTACAGGCACATAGCAGCCATATTTGGCTTGTTCTTTGAGATAGGATCTCACTGTTTTGTTTTTCTTCATCTTCTTTTGGCCTAGGCTGGCCTCAGACCATGATTCTCCTATTTCTACCTCCCAACTTGCTGGAATTACAGGCATGAGTCACTGTGCCTGGCCTTTGAGAGAGCACTTTGAAATCTTACCATTTGTGTCTTGTCATTACAGATACTAACATTTATTTCAAAGTATTAAAGACTTAGAAGTCAAATCTGTACTGACCCTGATGTTAAACTTTTTCAGATCCTTTTTAACATGATCTTGATTACTGTTTTAAAAACATTGTAAATTTTCCTCTTTGTTTTCCCTCTCTACAGTTTAAGAACTGTAACATTATAAATACAACTGCAGCTTTCTTTGTACTCTTCCCCAAATTCTTCCTTTCCTCCCCACAAAGGTAACTGTGATCTTCATTTTCTTTTTCCCTTCAATGTCTCTAGCTCTTCACTAAAACAGTAAAAGCTAACAGTCTAAAAGGGTAACAGTGTTTGCATTTCGTGCGTGGTGTAAGGGTAGGCCAACTAGTCTCCATCAGAAGAGCTTCCCCTTTTGGCTACTTTGTGCTGGGTTAGAGGTGGCTATGAAGATGAGTTAGTAAAGAATACCTAGGACATGGTACTGGGGCTGTTGGTTCCTGATCCAGGAGACACTGGGTCAGAAGCTTCAGCATGTGTAAAGACTGAAGTGTAAAAAGAAGGGCCAGAAAACTTTGGAAGAAAATCTTGGTGGATATCTTTACCACTTGAGAGGGGGAATATTTTTTAACATGCGATGAAGATTCACGAATATTACCGTAACATTTAAAGCCTCTGGGCAAAGATGGAACACAGAAATAAGTATTCAGGATATATTAGAAGGAGTACAGATAACCAGAAAGAAAAGTGGCCTGAAGATTTTTTATTTTTTTGGTGGTAGTGGGGATTGAACTCAGGGCCTCATGGTTGCTAGGCAGGCGCTCTATCACTTAACCCACACCTCCAGCCCTTTTTGCTTTAGTTATTTTTCACATAGGGTCTCATGTTTATTCCCAGGCTGTCCTGGACCACAATCCTCCTATTTGTGCTTTTTGGAGCTAGGGTGACAGGCATGCACACTGCAATCAGCCATTGGTTGAGATGGTGTCTCTCGAACTTTTTGCTCAGATTGGCCTTAAACTAGGATCTTCCTCATGTCCACCTCCCCCACATAGCTTAGGATTTACAGTGAGTCAGTGCTTGCAGCCCTGAAGATTTTAATGAGTTAACAGAAGAGAAAGCCTGAATAGTTGGACAGCAAAGAGTCGCTGAAACATTTGCATCTTGCCAAGTGAAGGTCTTTTAGGGAAATTGGGTTAAGGATTGTGTTGGGGAGTTGGGGCTAGAGTCTAATGGCATAGAGACTACTTAACTAATTTAAGCAGGAGATTATAAAACTTAAAATTAGACATCAGTATTATATGTTTTCTAGTAAGATAGTTTGTACATAAGAATTGAGATCAATTTAGGAGCTATTTAAATTACCTGAAATAATCTGTAGTAATGAAATTTGGTAAAAAGTGTATTTTGACCCCTTCATATTTTGAGTCAGTGAACACTTTATTTCAGATCAGAAGATTTTATGAGATGTAAATCATTTGCTTTTTTAGTTATAAAGTAAGCATGTAAAAGCTGATGACTAGTTACAAATTTTTATTATACTACTAACTGCTTATGCGTATGATGTTGTATTTTTCATTTCTAGGAGATGAAGTATTTCTAATTATAAAAAGTTGTTTTGATTTTTGTGTTTTTGTACAAAAATAGCAGTGGGGCTATGGCACAAAGGTGACTATTGAAATAGCCTTTGTGATTGCTGATATTTATAGAACAGGCTTGGGCAGTGACACCTACTGTCTGCCAAGTGACAATGCTGGCTGTGCTCAGGGAGAACTGGGCCCTGAAGGTGAGGCTCTGTCTGAGGCAGGGCGGGAGAATTATTCAGTTTCTTGGGCCACCTGAGCTTAGGAAGGGAAGAAAGCAATTGGAGAATGGAGAATAAATATAAGAGTGTGAATCCTATTTATCTGATGTGCTGATCTCAAAGCTGAAGCCAGTATTTATTTACTCTGCAGGGTTTTTTTTGCAGCACTGAAGTTTGAACTCAGTGTGTCACACTTGCTAGGCAGGCCCTTTACCACTTGAGCCACTCCACTAGCCCTAAATGAGATTTTTTTTTTTTTCAGTTTTTGTTTTATTGACAACAAAATTCAAAATACACATTTTTAGTCTTTTTGTTTGTTTTTATTTATTTTTTAATTTTTACATTTTTAGTCTTAAAGTTGTTGAAGTTTAATTGTTCAGGAAAAGGACTAGAGTAAAAGCTTTAGAAGAGTGGCAGATGGTGGGGGAGGGGCGTTAACCCTTCTGTGTCAAGCCCTCTGTACACATAGAATTGAGAGGATTGAAATAGATAGAAGTGGTATTTTAATGATTTTGTCCAATTCTGATGTTATTCTACAGTTTTTCACTTCTTGCATTTTTTTTGTATCTATAGCAAACCATTTATATGATTTTTGTTTTAATTTTTTTTCCTTGAGAAAGACTAGAAAATCTGAGAAGACATTATGGGCCACTGTATGGTTTTATCTTAAGTTTTCGTAAAAGTCCACCAACGAAAATAAGAGACTTGAGATGACAATTAGTTACACTGAACATTTTTAGAAAACTGATTTTTAAACTTTCCCCCACTCAGCTATAAAACATCTTACTCTGTCATACTGTATTCACATATATTTATACTGCAAGTATGAATATATATTATCACTATATAGTGAGAAAAGACAACAGTTCATTTAGATTACTTTTTGTGGTTATTAATTATGAGTAATGATTTTTTCCTTTTCTTTTTTTTTGAAGGCGAGATGGAAAGCCCTGTGTTTGCATTTCCCTTGCTCTTAAAAATAGAACCCCACATTGAAAAGCTCTTCACATACTCTTTTTCTTGGGACTTTGCATGTTCACAGTGTGGACACCAATACCGAAACAGGTTAGTTTTTGCTTTTGTTTTTCTTTAAATGGATTCATTCTACTGAAATGTTTCTGAGTATTTTAATTTGAATAAAACTTGTTTGTACCTTTGCACTACTTTGCATTTCTACCCTTGACAAAATTTCCTATCACATCTCTTTTGAGACAGGGTCTTGCTTTGTAGTCCAAGCAGGCCTGGGACTTGCTTGTAGCCCAGCCTGGCCTCAAACTTATAATCCTCCTGCCTCAGCCTCCTGTGGCCTGTGCCACATCTAGCTTCTACCATATCTTAAAATCTCTCCACCACTCAGGTTAAAAGGATAGATGGTAGCATGAGAAACTGCATTTTGCTTGTTCCTTTAAACTGGAAGAGTCCAAAATGCGTGGTGTGGGAGACTTCCTAAGAAGTCCTTTAGTGGGAAGTTGGGAACATGAGAAGAATAGCACCACACTCACACACACACTCTCTCTCCAGATTTCTAGCTGAGTGGGAACACTGCCCAGAATTCCTTGAAACTGTGTTTTATTTACTTCTCTACTAGTATCTAGGGTTTTTGTTTGCTGAGGCTTTTAATCATAGAAGCTGATCTTAGGCTCCTAGAGTCTGGCAACACTTCTCGGGATCCTCTGCTTTCCTGTTCTTCCCTTCATACCACGAGGCTCCTCTTGCACATGAACTGTCTCAGCCATGCTTTTGCTTCCATGAGGCCTTTTGGGGAAGATTCGAGAGGCTGTGGGTGACACACGGACGGGGCCTTGAGGAACTATTACAATACAGATAAAATCCTTCCCCTTTTTCTTTAACTTACCACTAGTAAGTCTTAAAGTTATTAAGTAAAACTATTACTTAGATATTCATTATCTAAATCTGAGGTCCTTTGTAGGAAGGGTACAATAAAAGAGAGTTGAGTTTAAGAGAATGCTCCAGGGGGAGTACAAGCGACAGAAGTATTTGCTTCTAATCAGTTTGCTCAAAACTGCTGCCAGAACAGGGTGAGAAGTAATGTTTTTACTCATACTAGACTTGAATAATTTTGTGTAAGCGAGTGAGGATCCTAGTGTCCTCATTTGACAGATGAGGACACTAAAACTTAAAAGGGTTAGGTGGTATCCAAGGGCACACACTAGCATGGAGCAAAATCAGGAGCTACCTGGGTTTTAAATAATATAAACAAAGTTGGTGATCAGAAAGAACTTCATTGCAGCCTTTGTAGAGTCTACATCCTCGTAGTTTGACAATTTTTCCATTGAGTATGTTCTGTTTGCCAGCTACTTATGTAGCTACTGGAAATAATTTCTATCCTGTCCAAATTCAGACTGCCAGTTAGGGAGATGATATGTGGACACCTAAGAGATGGTCAATGACTTAGTAATTACTCTTTTGACTGTTATTATATATGTATTTTGGCACACAAGATGGCAAGTGTACTCTAGAAGTAGATGGACAAAACTCAGCTCCAAGGGAAGCCAGCATCCACTTTGGTTTGCATTTTGTTTTTATTTCTTTAAAATTATCTTCCTCTGTTCCAAAAATGAAAGCAGTTGTTAGTAATAGCTAGCTAGATTGAGTTGAATAGCAGGTGAGATCTTAAATTCGACAACCTTAGAATGATGATCATCAGCCAGGGGCCCTCTTGCCTTCCTAAAAGGCATTAGTGATGTCTGGGTTGCTGCATCTGGGGGACTGAAACTGGCCTCTGGAACACAGAGGCAGGGGAGATGCTAACTTAAACATTCTCCGTACAGAATAGTGCCTTACAACAAACGATTATCTGTGCAAAATGTGAGCGGTATTGCTGTTAAGAATCCTACCTTTCACACTCTTGCTTCCTTTCATAGTTGAAAAACCTAGATAGTTAATATGGAGAGTCTTCCCAGAGAGCTCTTCACAAGGGCTAAGGAGGAAATTATCATACTAATATGTGAATTGGAAAAATAAAGTATGAGTTAGCATATGAAGGGGTATTTTAGACATTGATTTAAATTAACGTAAATGAGTTTAACAAATGAATTTAAGTTGGGTTTTCTTTTTTCATAGGTGTATGAAGAGTCTGGTCACCTTTACAAATATCATCCCTGAGTGGCACCCACTTAATGCTGCACATTTTGGTCCATGTAACAATTGCAGCAGTAAAACACAAATTAGAAAAATGGTATTGGAAACGTGAGTTAAAATTGCTTTTTAATTTTCGGAGTGAAACGAAGATAACATTTACTTTTTTTAATGTGTGGAATGGGAGATGGTAACTACAGCTTACTGTTCAGAAGTTTGAATTAACACATATGCTTATGAATTGCCACTGCTTTGCTTTATCAGGAACTCTGACGTAAGCAGTAAAATACTGTAGTGCTGTATTAGGGTGACTGTTGGTCCCACTCTCCTAGCTTCTTTTCTTTCTGCCTTTTTGTCCCTTTAAAGGTATTAAACTTTGGTTTGTTCCTCCCTCCAAGGGTCTTGAAGTGACTAGAATTCTAGAACTTCGTTAGAAGTTGGAAGATGATGAATTTACATCTTCTCCCAGATATCAGCCTACTATTTTTCTTCATCTTATAAGTTTTTTTTTTTGTTTTTTGCGGTACTGGTGCTTGAACTCAGGGCCTACATCTTGAACCACTCCACCAGCCCTTTTTTGTGATGTTTTTTTTCGAGATAGGGTCTCAAGAACTATTTGCCTGGGCTGGCTTCAAATCTCGATCCACCTGAGTAGCTAGGGTTAGAGGCACAAACCACCAGCACCCAGCTCTTGTAAGCTTTTGAGCAGATGTGTTTTCATTATATGTTGCCAACTTAACTTTTCAGTTTGGCCTCAGTGGGTAAGTTGGTCAGTGTTAACAGAATCACTGTTTAAACTCACAGCTTGTGTCTTTGGTTAGTTCATTCAAAGTGTACACACCCCCTTTAGCCTTCATGTTTAGTCTGGCTCTGCATGAAGGGAATGAAGTGTAATTTGACTTCTGATGCTCTGAAATCTGCCAGAAACTCCTTAGAATTGTTCCTAAAGGTTTGTTGTCATTGAAGTAATAAGTTCTTTAATTTAATAGTCCCAAAAGGTTTCAAAGGAGAGTAGGGCAGTCTCCTAACTCATTTCCCTCTCCAGGTTTCTATGTCACATCTTCAAGTTTGGCAGTACTTTGACATTGCAAAGTGATGTGCTGTTTCTGCTATGGCACCAGGCTGCTGTCCTGTCATGTTTCAGGGCTAGGCCTCCTCTTGTACCCGCACCTGGGTCCTGTCTCTGTTAGTGCCAGTGTGAATACATATGTGGTTAAATCATTACTCAGTGTTTGTGTTATTTATAAACATACATGTATTAATCCCCCTGGCCAAGCACATGGCTAAGTTCATGGTTATGCTTTATTTCTCTTGTAATTCTTTATTCTTCCTTGAATTGTTTGCCTTGTATTTTCATTTGCTTTGCTTATTCACTGAATTGTTTTCAAATGATTTAAATACTCAATACATTTTTACTTTCAAATGCTTCAAAATTTATTTTTGAACCCTAACTGTCCTCTCACCTTTTTTTCCCCTTGGAATCTTCCCTTCTGCTGATTTCCATCCTTTCCCTGCAGTTTCCCAGTCTGCACTAGCTCCTTTCTGGGCCTGCTATATAGGGGTGCTCTTTCTGTACACTTTCAATCTTTCCCCTAGTTTGTAACCCTGGTCTCATCCCCATACTCCACAGCATGTATTGCATGTGAGTATCGAGTGTTAGGGGTTCTGTGGAACAGATAGCTCTCAGCAGTGTGCCTGCTGTGTAGTGCTTACGTCTTCACCCCATCCATTCTGTTATGCCAGGCACCACTTCTCTTTGCTTTCTGCCTTATAATTATTTGACTGTTTTTTGGGGGACCGTACTGAGGTTTGAACTCAGGGCTTCATGCTTGCAAAGCTCTAGGAAATCTACCACTTGAGCCACACCTCCAAATAACCTTTTTGCTGTGGTTATTTTGGACTTCCAAAATAACCAAAATGGCCAAAAAGGGTCTCATCTTTTGGCCAGGCTGGCCTGGACTGCGATCTTCCTATTTATGCTTCCTGAAGTACCAGGAATGGTAGGCATGTGCCACCACACCTAGCTTTTTCTTTTGAGGCTGGCCTGGAACCACAGTCTTTCTGATCTCAGCCTCCTTTGTAGCTTGGGATGACATGAACCACTGTACCCAGCCATTACTTGAGATGGGGCAGGGGAGGGTAGGGTCTCACAAACTCCCTGCCCTGGCTACCCTTAAACAGCAATCTTCCTGATCTCTGCCTTCCAAGTAGCTGGGATTACAGGTGTGAGCCACTAGTACCTAGTCTGCTGGCTTCTTGTTGCCCATTACCCTTTCCCTTTCGCACTATTAGCTGTTTTTGTCCTTTACTATCATTTGATAGTATCTAAGTGGGAGGCAAAGTAGAGAAGAGCAGCTGTCTTTAACCAGAAGTCTATAGACTTGGTAGGGAGTGGGGACATCCCATGTCCAAGTTTTGAGATCTCAGTGTTGAGGAGTCCTCTTTGCAAGCCCTTGCTTGATATTGACACAGAAAGGCAGCAGGGTGTGGCTTGTCTGCTGGTCAGCACTGGGCCATTAGATTGCTTGAGGCTTCTTAGTGTGTATAATCCTGAATAATGTTTATCTCTGCTTTTTCTCAAGCCTCAGGATTGAGGATAGACTCATCCTGTTATTTTGTTTGATCTTTTAATTGGTTGCATTGCAACTTACACTTTTTAGTTATACACATATGTTGCTTTTACTCACATTAAAGGTTCATGTTCTGATCAGGAAATGTATCCATTAGGTAAAACCATATTTTAATGAAAAAAATGTGTTTTAAGTTCTGCTGGGCCAGTTATAAGCCAAATTTATAATTTGTACATGGCCTATATTCTTCAAAAGTAATTGAGTTTATGTAAAATTTCACTTAAATTTTAAATGACAAGATGCTAATAGTACTTTATAGTTTTTTACTTTGAAATGAGTATAACTTAATTTGTTGGTGTCTAATACAATTTAGAAACAAATTATATACATGTTTTAGGGATAAATTATATCCATCATAACATGAGTAATCCAATTATACAACATTCTAAAACCTAATAGTGTTGTGAATTTTCCTAAATACTTTACCTCAGCTCATCCACATCTGTAATACTGACCCATTAGAAAAAAGGATTCATTGGTCCAAATCAGGTGAATGATGCCTAACAAGTCCAAATCTGCTACTTTAAGAAAATTGTTTTGGAATTAATATTGAGAGTATGGTGACATGGAGCACCACCATCTTACAGTCAGATGAAATTTTATTTTACAAGCTCTTGAAATGAACTTCTCATTACTTCCCTTAGAAGTGTGGCATGTGCTCTTTAGAGTTGGCGCTTGAAAAGCTTAATAAACTACAGCTTTAATAGTTTTTTTTTTAATCAAAAGAATACTAGAATGCTAAGAAGAGAGATAAGACATGTCCTGTGCTTATGGAGGCTTTCTTTTTTAAACAGATAGATTGTACCTATTCTACAAAACTTTGGATGGAATACTACTACATAATTTAATGAAAACATAACTGTTCATTGGTTGAAAATGCTTTATTATTTATTGATAAGATCCTTGAACTGCTGTGCACTGGTGGCTCACGCTTGTAGTCCTTGGTACTCAGGAGGACGAGATCAGGAGGCCTGAGCCCTGGGCAAATGGTTTGGAGACCCTATCTCGAAAAAACCCATCACAAAAAAGGGCTGGTGGAGTGGCTCAGGGGGTAGGCCCTGAGTACCACAAAAAAAAGATCCTTGAACTACCTACAGAGAGCAGTTTGTAAATCTTGGTTGAACAGTTGAATTTTTCTAAAGATGTATTTACATATTACAGCTAAATATCCAGTTCTAGTTTTGAATTACAGCCAATTTTACTCGTATTTTTAATTTCTTGTCAGAGTCTGAAAGAGTTAAATTGATACAATAGATCTAAAATGTAATGAGGTTTAAAAATTATATTTGCAGACTTTTCTGCCTAAACCCTACTTTATTGCTATGCTGATATACATATGCACATTGTTAAATTTGCATTTTCTTAGATGAGAATTATTACATATGTTGAGATGAAAATCAAAAACTTGCACTCTGGCTGTTAGTGCAAGATGTGGTGTAGGCAGAGTGGCTCAAGTGATAGAGCACCTGCCTGTCAAATGTGAGGCCCTGAGTTCAACCCCCTGTACTGCCAAAAATTAAAAAAGATGTGATGTAGGGAATCGAAGTTCCCTGCTGTCTTTGGGTATCAGGGATTTACATAGTTTCCTTTGTGCTCTCTTTTCTGCTTTCTTTTCCCGATGGTAGATGCTCGTAAGAGAAGTTCAGCCCCACATTAGGGGAAGGCAGGTTGGTCTTTGCTTGAAATAACTTGTTGAGTCTTGTTCCAGTTCTGGTACCCAACCTCTGTCCTTTCCCATGGCTGAGGACGAACCTAACTTGCTCTGCTCAACCCTGAGCCTCATCTGCATGGCACTCCAGCCCTGAGGGAGTATGAAGTCTGAGAGCAAAGCCTAGGGGCAAAGTTCTGCCCTCACCTGGGAGTCTGGAAGAAGACTGTGACTTCTAGACTTCTAGGGGACACTGGGGAGTCTAGGTACCCAAAGAGAAAAATCAGGAGGAAACATGTTATTTGATTAACGCCAAGAGGCCATTGTTTATAAGTTGCACCGTTTTAAAATATGCCATTAAGAATGGAATTGGAGAACATCATTCTGAGTGAGGTTAGCCTGGCCCAAAAGACCAAAAATCGTATGTTCTCTAATGTATGGACATTAGATCAAGGGCATACACAACAATGGGATTGGACTTTGAGCACATGATAAAAGCAAGAGCACACAAGGAAGGGGTGAGGATAGGTAAGACACCTAAAAAACTAGCTAGCATTTGTTGCCCTTAACGCAGAGAAACTAAAGCAGATACCTTAAAATCAACTGAGGCCAATAGGAAGAGGGGAACAGGTACTAGAGAAAAGGTTAGATCAAAAAGAATTAACCTAGAAGGTAACACCCACGCACAGGAAATCAATGTGAGTCAATGCCCTGTATAGCTATCCTTATCTCAACCAGCAAAAACACTTGTCCCTTCCTGTTATTGCTTATACTCTCTCTACAACAAAATTAGAAATAGGGCAAAATAGTTTCTGCTGGGTATTGGGGTGGGGGGCGAGAGGGAGGGGGTGGAGTGGGTGGTAAGGGAGGGGGTGGGGGCAGGGGGGAGAAATAAACCAAGCCTTGTATGCACATATGAATAATAAAAGAAAAAGGAAAAAAAAATATGCCATTAAGAAAGAAATGTTGAGCTTGTAGGGGTTTTGCATGGCTCAAGTGTTAGAGTTCCTGCCTACCAAGTGTGAGGCCCTGAGTTCAAACCCCAGTACTGCCAAACAAAAGAAATAAAGAAATGCTGCCTGTTTGTGTGTCAGCAGTGATGTGGTGTACCCATGTTAAAAAGCCTGAAAAAAATTGGAATTTATTTGACATTTGGAATTAACAAAGTTTCATGGTTATAGAATGTTGAATGTAGGGGCTAGGTTGTGGCTCAGTGTTTGAGCCTGTTTAGCATGTGTGAAGCCCTGGTTGAATCCTCACCACCAAAGGAAAAGGAAGTAGTAAGGAGGACATTCTGAGGGTTTTCCTTTGGATGAAATGGTAATAACTGAAGAATTAGGAGTCTGCTCAGCATCATTTCACTCCTCACTGGGTCCTGGATAATTTTGGAATATTAGTGGATTTTGGCAGTGAGGGCCTGTGTAATTAAGAAGATGTTCAGATGTTTAGCTAAGTGTGGTGGTGTCTGCCTTTAATCCTGGTACTCTGGAGGCTGAGGCAGGAAGATTCTGAGTTCAAGGCCATCCTCGGCTACATAGACACTATCTCAAAAAAAAAAGGAAAAGAAAAGATGTTTTAAAATTTGTACAGTTACTCCCATGGTTGCCATCTTTTTTTTTTCCTTGGCTGAATAATAAAAATCAGATTGCTACCTTATCTAAATTCTGCCCTATCTAGTTCTCAAAGCAGGTTGTGGAGTTACTTGTATTCAGCTAGGATTTGAGTATCTGTAACATCTAAGAAAGTACAGAGTGTGAGTTTTTGTCTTAGTGTTTTTTACTTCTACTAATTTGCAAAAAGAATATTTTAGAAGACTTGGAATATACAAAAAGTCTAAAAATCTGGCACGTGGTCTTATATGCATTATTTTATTTCTGTTAAATTTGTATGTCTTAAAACATTTTCTGAGTGTAAACTCAAAGGCTGGAAACTAGTGAGATTTCCTAATCTAGAATCAAGAGCTTGTTTAGTAACTAGCCTTAGAAGATAGTCTGAAAGGGATCATCATATGAGGCCAAGGGAACTAAATAGTATTAATCCTTTATTTTTAACTTATTATTTACTTAAAAATATCTTAGTAGTAATAAAAAGAGGCACAGACCAAAATCTCTGGTTTCACCATGGATCATTGACTCAGTGACACACTTCACATTTTAACTTAACATGAAATGGAAATAATTTAAAAATTGACAGTATGGTATAGTTTAGTGGCACACATTACTATTGGTGACATCTTGGATTCGGTGAAGTAGGTTTTTTTTTTAGAAAATGAGAAAAGTTCAGTGTTGAAGAGAGTACAGGACTTTGTAGGTTCATTTATTTATTTATTTATTTTTTTATTTATTTTGGCGGTAGTGGGGTTTGAACTTGGGGCCTCACTCTTGCCGGGTGAGCCACTCCACCAGTCCTGTAGGTTCTTAAATTTTGAGGAATGATTATACTAACAAAATGATTGACAAGGAGTAATTTATAAATTGTCCCTTGTCATTCTGAATCTTGCATTTTGGACATTGACTCAAGTTCATTTCAGGTGAGTAAATTTTGATAGGCTAAGTAAGTTTCGACAGCTGTTTTAATGTTTTAAAAAGGGATATTGGACATTTTTCTTAAATCCAGAGAGCTCTGTTAAATTTAGGTATTTGAGGCCCATCTGTGGGTTGTGTTTTCTGGTGTGGCACCTGTGACGGTGTGCATAGGTATAATGGTACAGTGTGTTTTAAATTATGGGTGTCTTGAAGTTCATAGTAAATTGACCAATATGGTTTATTTTCTTTACTTAGTTACAAATTAAATTTTTCCTAAGTGGAAATTTTAATTTGATAGACTTCTTTACTTCCTGAGATTACAGAGAAATAGGCCAAATTAATGTTTATTTGACTCTTAGGTTTTCACATATTACCTTCCACACCTAACAAAGCAGTTCACCTGGGTACTTGATGCCAGAGGAAGTTCTAAAACCTGCGCTTTTCCTTTGACTTCTACAAAGTAGTTACCAGAGATCTTTACTAGAGCAACACCACTGCTTACAGGGCAGTTTTTAGTAATGGCCTTTGTTAGTCTTGCTGCATGATGGCTTTCTGAAAGGGTGTGGTATTACATACGTCTTAGAGTGAGTTTTACATTTCTGATTAAGGCACACTTCTGGAGGTGCTCAAGCAAAATCAGTGCAGTTAGCCTTGAAAGTGCTGGGTGACTAGTTCACTTCAGACACATGGCATTAAACTTGGTTGACTTTTCTTGCCTTCTCTCCCACAGAGTGTCTCCTGTGTTCATGCTGCACTTCGTGGAAGGCTTACCACAGAGTGACTTGCAGCAGTACACATTTCATTTTGAGGGTGCTCTTTATCAAATAACATCCGTAATCCAGTACCAAACAAGTAATCATTTTATAACATGGAATTTAGGTGCTGATGGTAAGTGCTGAAATATTTCATAATAATAGGCATGGAAATTAATCTCTAGTGTTTTGTTTGTCTGTTTGTTTTCTTTTTAAAGAAAAAGGGGTTAACTTCTAAAAATTTCCAGCCTCTACCCTAGGTCAACAAACCAAACTTAGGGATTGGGCCCAAATATCACTATTGTTTTAAAAGCTCCCCAGTGGTTCTCGTGTGCACGTGGGGGAAAATCACTGACTTAGGCAAACTAAAGAGGCAAAGCTGTATTGAGTATGGAATAAGTAGTAGTACAGACAGGCCATGTATGAGTGGAGTCACATGAACCACGTGTTTCCTGAATAGCTTTGTGTTTGTATATAAGGGTGCCAGCGATCTCCGAACATATTTTGCACTCTTTGTAACTTAACTGTCAGAATTCATAATTCTGTTGTGACTCACACACTCAGTTCACTTTGTTTTCATCAGATACTATTTTTTTACTTTCCTACTGCATACATGCCACACCAGTGTGGAGATTTGTTGATACCAATTAATGTACACTGACACATGGTTACCTCTCAGTCAGTAGTTTATGGTTCACTCTTGGTTGTGCAGTCTCTGTGCTTTGATAATGTATGCTGACATACATTTGCCATCACAGTATCAGACAGAATAGTTGACCTTAAAAATCCTGTTGTGCTCCGCCTGTTCATTCTCTCAATTTTTTTTGATATTGAAGTTTGAACTCAGGGCTTCATGCTTGCTAGACAGGCACGTCATCACTTGAGCCACTGTGTCAGCCCCTTCTCAAAATTCCTTGTGTGCTTTTTGTTCTTGCTTTTTTTTACAGCTAAAGTTTACCATTTTTCCATTTTAAAGTTTGTAATTCATATGCACTGAGTACATTCACAGTTTGTATAACTAATACCACCATTTATTTCCAGAACTTTCTTCATGATTTTCTCTCATTAAACATTAACTCCCCATCCTCCCTGTCCCCAGCTGTTGGTAACCACTATTCTACTTTGTGTCTCTGAATTTGACAACTTTTGGTACTTCATTTAAATGGGGCCGTACATATTTGGATTTTTGCATCTAATCTGTTTCATTTAGCTTATTTTCAAGTTCATCCATGTTGTAGCATGTGTCACTTTTTCCTTTTTAAGGGTGAATAATACCCATTGAATTATCTATTAATAAAATGCCATAGACATTCGGGTTATTCCTACTCTTCAGCTATTGTGAATAATGCTGCTGTGAACATTGGTGGATAGGTTAAGTCTTGTTTTCAGTTTTTTGTGTTTATTTTTGGCTTGCTGTGCAAGTGCATTCTTCCACTTGAACCACTCCACCAGCCCCTATTTTCAGTTCTCTTTGGGTGTATACCTGCAAGTGGAATTGCCATGTCTTTTGGTGATTCTATGTTTAACTTTTGGAAGAGTGGCCAGGCTTTCCACAGCAGCATCACTATTTTACTTTCCTACCAGCAGTACACAAGATTCTAGTTTCTCTAAAACCTGCCTAATAAATAACCATTTGTGTTATTTTCCTTTTTTATAATAATTACCCTAATGAATGCCTTTTCTCCCTTTCTTTTCTAAGGAGTAATTTAAACACATTACTTCCTTACTTCTCATTCTCATTCATACTTTAGTCCACTAGACAATGACTCCTCTTCTGGAAATTGTACAGGCAAAAGTGACTGCCAGGAACCAAATGGTTATAAATAATGGACCTTTGCAGGTCTTGTCTCAGTACTTTAGAATTTGATACCATAGACTGCTCCTAATCCTTAAATGCTTGTCATTCTCATTCTCACTTGATAACAAGAAGAAAAAACTTAAAAATAAAAATGGAAGCTGGGTGTGATGGTGCACACCAGAAGGCTTGAGGCAGGAGATGGAGGGTCTGAGCAGCCTGGGCTATCTAGCCAGCTCCAGAGTTCCAGACTGTCTGGACTTGACTATATAAGTGAAACACTATGTATCTGGGGTGACACACTTACCTTGAAAATTTTAATTCATGTATATGGAGCGACTTGGTCTATTTTCTGATGTTGTTGGATAAATTATGTGATTCTGTATTGTATGTTCCAAAAGTTAATTCTGTCTTGATTTTTTTTATGAATATTTTTAGGGAAGAGTATAAACTGTCCAGAAAACTACCCCAGATTTTCAGATATCTGCATAAGTTACTCTATCACTTTTGGCATCCAGATAACATTTCGTAGAGAATGGTGATAAGAATAAAGTCATGTTTCAGAGACCAGAAGAAAGTGAAGATAGGATGATTTGAGAATGCTAACCTCTTTGGCTTTCTTTCCCATCCCCTAGGAAGTTGGCTGGAATGTGATGACTTAAAAGGTTCATGTGCTAAAAGGCATGAGAAATTTGAAGTTCCTGCTTCTGAGGTACATATTGTTATTTGGGAAAGAAAAACATCCCAAGTGACAGCTAAAGAAGCTGTCTGCTTTCCACTCAAGAAGCCCAGTGATGAGCAGGCGTTCAGTGAGGTGATACCAGCATCTCCAGCACTGTGTTCTGTGGGTGAGGCTGCCCCGGCCGAAACCGCAGTCATTCACCCCCCACATACCTCAGTTGCTCCTCCTACTCTTCCACAGGACAAAACTGTAGCTCACAGAGATTGTGTACCTTCTAGTCCAAAATATTTGGATGACAATAATATTTTATCTTTGACACTTGAAGGAACTATCCAGAAAACTGCCTCTGTTTTCCAGATTAACTCCAAAGATTTCCTATTAGAAAACAAACCTGTGGCAGAAAATATAGGACTTGTCAAAACAAATACTTTGCAATTACAAGAATCACTAATGTCTTCTTCAGTGTCTGCTCCGTGTAAAGAAAAGCTTATCCAAGCCCAATTTGTGGATTTAAGCTTCCCAATTCAGATAGTAAATACAAACACAAATAGAGAACAGCCGAATACAAAAGATACTGCAGTTTCAAAATCTGTGAATACCGTTCATGCTGCTGATGTTGTTCAGGGAGTGAGATGGGTGGAAGCTCAGCAGGATGCTCAATTGCAACAGTTCTTTCCATTAAAACATGAGAAATTAGAACCAGACAGCAACAATAAACAGTACCATCCATCTCGGGTACCTAATTTGAAGAAAAGAGAAACCACAGCAGCTCCTCAAACTGTAACAGCTAAGTCATCCCAGAATCAGGCACCAAAAGAAAATCAAAAGAAACCTTTTGTGGGAAGTTGGGTGAAAGGCCTATTAAGCAGAGGTGCTTCTTTTATGCCACCTTGTGTTTCAGCTCAGAATAGAAACACTTTAACTGATTTGCAGCCTTCAGTTAAGGGGGCAAATAATTTTGGTGGCTTTAAAACTAAAGGTGTAAGCCGAAAGGCTAACCGGGCATCCAGGAAAGCTGACAGGTGTGCAGGTAAGCCTCATCCCATCAGCAGCAGCCTTCCACTAGGTCTTCTGCCATCAGGAAGCAAAGCTCCTCATCTTCATGCTGGGGAGAATGCTGCTTCAGAACTTTTGAAGAAGCAGGAAAGCACCACACATGGTGCTCACCTCAACGGACATCCTCACGGAAGCGAAAATGGCCAAGGAGAGTCGGTGGAAGGTCAGATTCATAAACTTCGTCTAAAACTTCTTAAAAAACTAAAGGCAAAAAAGAAGAAATTAGCTGCTCTTACCTCTTCCCCCCAAAGTGGAACACCTCCAAGTGAAAATTCAGAGCATGTGTCCCATTGTGGGTCTCCAAATGATTGTGAATCAATAGAAGACTTGTTAAATGAACTTCAGCATCAAATTGATATTGCAGATAAGTCTGGAAGTACCACTGTTCCTAGTGTTTCCTCATATAGTAGTCAGACCCATGAAGAAATTTTAGCAGAATTACTGTCTCCTACAACTGTTCCAACAGAGCTCTCAGAAAATGCTGAGGCTGACTTTAGGTATTTGGAAATGGGAGGTAACCATATTCCAGCACCAGTACCTAGTGAGTTAAACAGCATGCTCCAAAATACACATCTGAAACAGGACCATAACTATTGCAGCCCCACCAAGAGAAACCAGTATGAGGTTCAGCCAGACTCACTGACAAATAATACCTGCATGAGAACATTAAACTTGGAGAGTCCCTTGAAGACCGATATTTTTGATGAGTTTTTTTCTACTTCACTAAGTTCTTTAGCAAATGACACATTAGACATACCTCATTTTGATGAATATTTGTTTGAGAATTGCTGAATGCTTATTAACTCTTTAATATTTATTGTTCCAGAAAAACTTGTGTTTTCAGATAGTTTTATACACTGGCCTGTGTAATAACCATGAATAAAATGTCAGCTGCTGAAAGTTTTACCTTTGATTCTGCCCATGAAGCATGTTACCTGTTTTACATATTAAAATCATGAGGAATGTGTTCTTTATTTGTTTCATTTTGTACTTGTAAGAGAATGAGGATTTCAGGATGTTAAAGATGAAAAGTCTAGTTTCTGGCAATTTGTACAGCTGGTTGCATTCAATTTCCACATTCTAAGTTTTGGTTCTGTTGGTTCAAGAGAAAAACTAGTTTATACAAACAAATTGTTATATATACAGTATGATTGCGTGACAGTTTTGCTTCTGATTCAACCTAAGCCTGTTTCGTGCACCAGCACAGTGTTGTGGAACAGAAACTTGACAGCACCACTTGTCTCTTCTCTTCATAAAAAGAATGACAGGAGCCGGGTGCCAGAAGACTGAGATCAGGAGGATTGTGGTTCAAGACCAGCTGGGTCAAATAGTTCTCAAAACCCCATCTCCAAAATAGAACAGAAATGGACTGGAGGTGTGGCTTAAGCAATAGTGAGTTTAAACCCCAGTCCCACCAAAAAAAAAAAAAAGGAAACTCATTACTAGAACTTTGAGTAATCATAAGTGATCAACAAATGATCTATTACAGGAAAAGTGAACTTTTTGTGGCAATGTGCAAAATGTTTACATGTTACTGTAAATACCCTGTTTTTCTAACACTAATTTCTGTGACTGAAGTAGGATACCAGCTGCCAGTTCTGCTTTGGGGAGAATGATAAGGCTTGCTACACGTTGGGTTCTATTATATACAAAATGCTGATTAATTTAAAACTCAACCTTTAGTCTGGGTGGAGCTCAGTGGTGGAGCACTTAACTTGCATATGGGAGCCTCTGGGCTCATCCCCAGCACTCCCAACAAATAAGAAAACACTTCTGTGAATGAGGTAATTTTTTAGGACATTTTTCATGTCCACAGGATGTAACTGGCAACTATAGCAGTTAGCGTTGCCACGTGTTCCACTTCTCAGGTTTCATTTAAGTTCAGGTGCCCAAACAGTATATCCATTGCAGGAATTTGAGTTAACCTTGACCTTAAGGGTGGCAGTCAGTAGTAAAATTCTTTGCCGAAGACTCAGTACTTCATAATTTATTTTCCAAACTTACTCCCAAATCATTGTTTTTCCTAATTATAAAAGTAGTGTTAAAAGAAAAATGGATTTTGGCTCATCCTTCTTAATATTAGTGATAACTACTATAAATAGTCTCATGTTTTTATACACATAGTCTTTTTAAATGAGATTGTTTTACCTATTTGTGTGATGTGCTTTTACTTTAATCATTTTTCCATATCACATAGTTTTGGATACTGCTTTTGAGACAGGGTCTTACCATGTAGCTCAGGCTAGCCTCAAAGTTTTAGATCCTCCTGTACCAGCCTTCCAGATTCTGGGATTGCAGGCATATACCACCAGGCCTGCTTGGACATCTTTTTGCTGAATGTTACACTGTGTATAATTATTATTTTGCTAGTCTTTTTAGATTTCAGGTGATTTATACAGTTTTGCTATTGTTAGTTTTGCTGCAGGCAGTTAACCTTGATCAGGTTTTGCACAGATCCAATTTTTAATTTTGGGGATTAGAATTGCGAGGTCAGAGAACGTGCACATTGAAAAACTTATGATTGCATGGTGGCAACACTGGGTCCTTGGCAACGCTGCATTGGGGGCAGGGGGAACCAGCCTTGGCCTTTTGTTTATATTTCCATGGTTACTATTGGGGCTGAAACTCTACTGGCCAGTTGAGTTTCTTCAAGGAAATTTTTTGTTCATCCTTTTTATTACTCATTTAGCAAGTATTTTTAATTGCTGTTAAGTGCCCAGCACTGTTTATAAGCCTGAGATAAGGCAGTAAAATAAAAGGAAATTCTTGCTCCTTAGTAATTTGTTTTTCAAACAAGGAGATAAGTTAGGTGGGAATAGGAGATAACATACAATTGATTCTTGACATTTTTGGGAGTCATGATCTATTAAGTCACCATGAACGTTGAGTTAGAAAATACTGAACCATTGCTTCTAGGGAAATACAGGGTATGATCCCGTGAGCCTCTGGTCACAATCTTTTTGTTGACCAGTTCATAACCTTGTTTCTGTTCACAGATAACCTTATTTAATTTTAATGTTGATTCATTAACATTGAACTTGTGACCAGCAGCACTGTAACTCAGGCCTGAGTGAAACTTAGCTAACATGGTTTTCCTGAAGGCCATCACAGCTACCCTGTGCATAGGAACATTAGATAGCACTTGAGCACTTTTAAACAGTAAAATCATGAACAATAACCACAGAAATGTGAAAAGCATGCCACTAAATGGAACATAAGAAAAACCCACTTCGTTTACAGTATGAAAGCTGAAATACAGAGCCTGAGTGTTGAGGCCCTGAGTTGAAACCCCAGTACCGCAAAAAAAAAAAAAAAAAGAAAAAACAAGTTTACATACAGAGTTCAGACTGGGGTGGTAACTGGAGATTTTCAGAAGTAGCTGGATTACTGTTGAATTTGAAAAGTAGAGCTGATGGGATGTGTTGATGAATCGTGGATAGAAAGGAAATCAAAGATGAACCTCAGGTTTTGTGCCTGAGCTAGTGGGTTGTGTGGTGTTTTCTGAGATGATACAGATGGGTTGGAAAGAATGGAAAAAAGTTAATTCAATTTGGGGTGTGAGATTCCTGTTTGACTCCAGATGGAGATAATTTAGTAAGAAGATGCATCTGGAATGCTGGTGGAGCTCAGGAGAGACAGACACTGGAGACAGTCATTTGAGAATTATGAATGCATGATCATTTTTAATGCGATGAGATAGGATGGGGTTACTGAGGGAGTTAAAACAGCTGTGGGGAGCAAAAGGGATGGTAAGAGGAAAACAGGACACGTATGGTGCCTCAAAAATCAAAGGAAGAGCACTTGGAAGGAGGGGTAGGCGAAAAGTAGGAGTAATATGAGGGCTGAGAACTGACCAGGGGCTCATGAGGGAGGGAAGAGAGAAGGTGGAGCTACAGGAACCAGGGCCTCACCCCTGCTAGGCAAGTGTTTTACCCTAAGTAGCATCCCAGCCCTAGTCTTACCTTTTTTTAGTGAAAGTGTTAGTAAAGTTTATTAAAACAATACACTTTGACTAGACGAGAGTGGATTGTCTCTAGGGTAAGAATGACAACATTAGCCTTTGGGGTTTGAGTATTTGAGATTCCCAGTGAGAAATTCCTTTCCTTAGGTCCAGCCTACAAGATTGAGGTCGCAGGTAAGCAACAGTGTCGTGAGGCTGTAGGTTTACATAATTGCAATATACAGGTTCCACCTGACCACTAGGTAGACCCACTTTTTAAAAAATTTTTCCTGGTGCTTGTTGGGGGAATCTGAGGTCAAGGTTTTTGTTACTGTCTGAGGTGAAAGATGTTAACAGTATGTCGTGTGAGCCTGCCTGAGTGTTCTTTGATGAGAGAGCAGGTGCTCTCTACACTGGATGGAATCCAGTGTAGAAAAAGAAGAGGATGTGACCTTAATTAGGAGCTAGAAGAATTTATCAGTTTAGTGCTAGGGAAGACTTTGCAAAGGTACCAACATTATGACAGACGAGAAAGGAATGAAGCCTCTTCTGTTCTCTTGGGGAAACTGATCAGCTGCTGAGGATTGAAGGGAGGAGGAGTTGGAGGCTGAAGAGAGGTTTGAAGAATCAGTCTGGAAGAGAGGAGAGAAACTCCAATAGGGACATGTTGGGGACTTGCTGAGCTGTGCAGAGAGCCCGCTGGGGGGCTACAGTCTTAAACTGAGACCAGCTACGTTTTTTATTTTTTGTCTCCTTCACCCTATGTTTAGCTGCTTAGATAGAAATCAGAGAATATGCAAGAAGTTGGATTTAGCCAAAGTGGAGGAATTACTGAGACAGATGGAGGAGAAGAGGAATTAAGATTTTGTGTTGGGTAATGTTACAGTTTGGACCTGCAGTGTTCCCCAAAGGCCCATGTACTGAAGGCTTGGTCTCCAACTTTGCCCTGTTAGGATGTGGTAGAATCTTTAAGAGGCATAGCCCAGTGGGAGGTCTTTAGGTCATTGGAGGTGTGCCTGTGATGGGGGTAGTGGGACATCGGCCCCTTCCCCTTCCTCCCTTTGCTCCTTGGTCATGAGGTGACAGCTTTTTGTCCCTCCACACAATTCTACACTGAGGTGCTGCTTTGCCGTAGCCCTCAGTGACACAGCCAATGAATCATGGACTGAAACCTTTGAACTATAAGCCAAAATAAACTTTTTCTTTTTTAAATATTGGTTATCTGTTACAGAAACAAAGCTGACTGACACAGGTACTGTAAATGGATAAAGAGAGTAATTTAAAAGCATGGCAAATCTTGATGTGTGGGTGGAAGGTTCCAAGAGTACCTACGTGGGTCTAGTGGAGAAAGTAAGCAGGTTAGAACGTGGTGGACTTGAAATTAAGCTTTTACTGATAATGAGAAGGTCCAAAGTATGAGGAGGAAGGCACATGGCTGAGGTTGTATGAGTCCACAAAGAAAAGTGAGATGGAGGAGTGAAGAAACCAGGGTGATGCTTGCATTGTCTTCATGGAAGCCGAGGCAATCTAGACGGTAACAGGATAACCTGTGTGCCAGGACCTCTCACCCTCAAGGAAAGATGGGATATGGTCAACACTCTGTGGGTTCCACATCTGTGAGTTCAGCCAACCTCAGATGGAAAATAATCATGAGAAATGTTATCTATCGAATATGTGCAGATTTTTTTCTCATTCCCCCAACACACAGCATAACAACTATTTCCATGACATTCACATTGTATTTGGCATCATAGGGACTTGGTAGGACTGTGTGTGGGGGCTCATGCCTGTAATTCCAGCTACTTGACAGTCAAAGATCGGGACGAGCACAGTTTGAGGCCAGTCTTGGCAAAAAGATACTGAGACCCCACTTCAAAAGCGAGCTGGAAATTCTTGCAAGGATGCTGGGTGCTGGGTGGGGGGAGGAACCATTACACATGTTGGTGGGGTAAATCAGTGCAGCAACTACGGCAATCAGTGCAGCAAC